GAGGCTGAGGTGGAGAATGGCTTGAGCTTTGGAGGTAAAGGTTGTGGTGAGCTGAGATAGTGTCACTACACTTCAGCCTGGGCGACAGAGCCATACCCTATCTCAAAAACAAACAAACAAACAAACAAACAAAAATAGAAAATCCCCCAAAATCCAAAATTGTGCCATTATTGCATGCTAACAAGTTACTAAACCACATATCAACTTTGCATTAATATTAAAGAAGAGGTAGATTGCCTCTACTGCCTGAGAAATTTATTGAGCTATATTTTTATTGACACTATAAGCTGTTTAAAATCAAATGGATTGCCACATAATGTTTACAAATAATTCATTTTCTTTGATGTTTTAAGGGTTGGATTCTCTTCTTTTAAAACTAGTTTTATTTCTACTCAATGATTTCTCAAAATTCCATTATTAAACAATCAATTGATCAATAATTTAATAAGTCCGGTGTGCCGTTATTGGCTCGACATAGTGGCACAGGCCTGTAATCACAGCTACTTTGGGGGCTGAGGTGAGACCATCTCTAAAAAAAAAAAAAAAAAAGAAAGAAAACATCCAGGCCAAGTTTGGTTGGCATGGATAAATAAAAACTATTATATTGTCATAATTTGTCAAGGTATTGTGTAGAGAAATAAAAAGAGACTAGCATTATAATCTTACTTAATAAAAATGTATACCAATGTCTGCATAGAAAGAATAAATTAAAAAATAAGCAAAACACTTAGTGATTATCTGGTTAATGAGATAATGTGATTACTATTTTATACATTAATGCGGTTTCCAGATTACTTACTATAGGCACATCTTATTTTTGTAAGACCATAGAAAACATATTTATGTCCTTAGGGAGCATATCTTATAACTGGAGAAGAAAATAAAGTAGCATACAGTAAACAAATAGAAAACAATTGAGTGCAAAATAAAAATAACAAAAAAAAAAGAAAAACAAGAAAACAATTGAGTGCAAAACTGTACAATTACTGAGTATAAATCCAATAAGTCATTCAGAGAAGGAGAGATCAGAAATATTGAAAGAAAGTTCAGTTCAGTTCTCTTTTTGTATAAATAATGGCAAAAATTTAGCACCTGCTATCTTGAGAAAGTTAACATGCATAATGGAAATAAAAGCTTAGGATTAGGCCTGGCTCAAGTGAGCCTTCTGCCTCAGTTTCCCAAGGTATTGGGATTACACTGTGAGCCACAGTGCCCAGCCAACATGGTAACATTCTTCTGCAATTCTTCTGATTAGAGAACATTTTATATTATATAAAAAAAGAAAAAATTTATATCACAATATTTGTTCTCAGGCAAAAATAATGTAGCAAGATTGACTGCTCTTAAGTTAAATAAACGAAGGACTCAATTAAATAATTCTTGTAGCACACGTAGTCACTCAAAAGCATAGATACTCTGCCGGCTGTGGTGGTGTGCACCTGTTGTCCCAGCTATTCTGGAGGCTGGGAGTTCAAGTCCAGCCTGGGCAAAATAACAAGATCTGTCTCTAAAAAAGACAAAAAAAGGCATAGATATACCATAAATTTATGTAAATATCTATATTTTATTAATTATAGAATGCTATTGTAAAACATAATTATTTTATGAATCACAAAATATGCTACCAATTAAACTATAATATATAGTAGATCATCAATTGTAACATGAATCTTGATAAAATGTGAAAAATCTGTATTTTATAATCAGTGAAATAAGATCTGCATTTTGTGACCATTTGATGAATGTCTACTGCACCCACAAATATGAGGCTAGGATACAAGCTTTTGTTCATCGTTGTACCCATGGCCAGCACAAATAATTTTCTAATAAATCCTTGAATCAATGAATGAATAAATAAATAAATAAATGAGCAGGTGAATGCATAATCAAATAAGAGATTTGTCTTACACTGCAAATGCCTAAATGATAAATAAGAAATGCCTTTTAAATAAGTATTAACTGCTAAATAAGTACTGTAAAGCAACAATAATATTGTCTGACATTTATTTTTAAGTGATGCATCTATCTCTTTGGAAAGAAGTCCTGAATATGTTTGAAATCTGTTAAGAACCACCCACCTCTGTGTGAAGCAGGTGAAGGTTGACTTGTAAAGCCCAAGTGAGTAATCCGAGGTGTTTAAAATCACAATTAAATTGGGTGGGGAGAACAAGCTGTTATTTCCTCCTATTCTTCTGTTTTTAAAACAGCCAACTTCAAACACTCTGCCTTTTACCTATAAGAAAAGCAGTTCTATACCCTTATAGAATCCTTAACAGAGATACCGTTCTGTTCTATCCCAGGTATTTCTGCTATAGGATAAGGATTCAACAGAAAAAAGTAATTATCTTCATCCAGACACATGCAGGACTTATAGTGTGATTATTGAACCAAACTCTTATACAGAGAGACACATTTCAAAGAAGAATTCTATTAGCCAAGGGAAGTTACTCTTTTGCCTCCTGTTGCTATTCAAGTCTTTTCTCCTCTGTCCTTCACCAGCCTTACCCCAGTCTCTGAACCAGCAAACCATTGCCAAGTTCTGATGCAAAGTGGCTCACAGGCCTGACTGGACCAGGCTGAAAGTGTTCAAACAGCAAGTAACAGGGAGCAGAAATCCATACCAGAGTGGGATATGGAATATATTTATATTTGTACAGAATGCCTTCTAACTTAATTCAGCCAAGAGTTGTGAGTTATGTAGGTGAGTTACCATGGAGCTATGAATACAAGTTGATATTCTGGAATCCTAGATAGCCATCTCCAAACTTCAGAAAAAATTCTTATGTGCTCATTTGCAAAAATATCCATAGCATAGTCTTAATTGACAAAAAAAAGTTATAGATCAAATATGTAATTTTTAGTTTTTTTAAAGGTATGTTTGGGCTGTAGATAAATCTGTTCAAAAAACAGAAGATAATCATGGTTGAAAGGAGACGGTGCTTGCCCTCAAGCAGTGATTGTCTAGTGACAGAGATAGGACTTGTATGTAAACAAAATTGGGATACTAAAGTAGCTAGTGAGAGGTAACTTAAGAGAGGATCAGATAAGGTATTAAGAGAATTCAGAAAAGGGACTGAATTAATTCTGACCTATAGCGTCGAAGAACGTTCATGGAAGACATAGTGTTTTCACCAGATCTTGAAGGTGTGGATGAGGATATATAGAGTGAGTATATTCAGAATCTACTTTAAAACAAATACTTTCCTCTGTTTAGTGGAGTTGACCTGTACATCCAACAATAATGAAAAAATACACACACACATATATATATATATATATATATATACATATATGGAGAGATACATATTTTAGTACATGCAGCAATTTATTAATAAATGTAGAGTTTAAATTGCTTGCAACACCTTAGAGTGATAGCAAACTTCATTGTGGGATGTTTAGCAGCATCCCTGGCCTCTACTCGCTAGATTCCAATAGCATACTCGTAGGTGTGACAACCAAAAACACCTCCAGGTATTGACCTCTGGGGGCAAGAAAGCCCTTTATTAAGAACCACTGGTATGCATAAGTAAAACATACGCAAGAGATTCCTCCCCTCTTCTCTATATGTGAATAAAAATTACAAAGTTCATGACCTGGATTTTCCTTTTAGGTTTCTTCTTCAGTGGTTCTTAACTTCATTAGGTCAAGTAAGCCTTTGAAGATCTGTTGAAAGCTGTTGACTCATTCACTTCCAGGAAATGTACATGCTTTCTACAATACCAGGGGATTTGCATCAGGGTTCTCTGGTGACCAGTTCTGTTTCCAGGAGCTCGTAGAATTGTCATGATCTGTATATTCAAGGTAACAGAAGGTTGACGTACACAGGTCTGTATTTCGGAGCCTCTTCTGGATTTATGTCAGAACACAGAACACTGATAATCAGGTGAGAATGTTCTGATTTATCAAACCCTTCCTTTTTGCTAAGGAAGGTTTTTGGCATTAGTTTTAGCAAAATTTATCCCGACAGAAGACAAAACACTGATGAGGTAGGCTAGCTCCGGCTCCTCCTCCTTCTCTTCTAGTCTTGATTTCCATGTAGTCCTAGACTCCTGATTGTCCAGGAGAATGAGACAAAAGAAAGAAACAGTCTAGCGGGTGAGAAAGGGTCACCTGGACGCTGGATTTGGATTGTGAAATAAAACACACACACATGCACCCACAGAACATGGAGCTAAACTCTGAGTAAATCGTGAACTCTCTATATCCTCCACATATTAAATACTCCTAATTAAATATTCCACCGATTAAATACTCCTAATTAAATACTTCACCTATTAAATACTCCTAAAAAAACTTTCTAGAAATTCAAGGGTTTATTGATATGGAAACCTGGACACTGTTCCACTTCTCCTCCTCATCTGGATGACAGCACCTGTGACAGGCTGTGGAGTTCCCTGAATCACACAACCTAGGAGTCAAGGTTAGCAATCCCAGAGACCCCGGACTTCTTCCTCTACGCCCGGCTCTGTTCTCCCCTAAGGAGTCCCACAGGGCCTGGCCCGCCCCTGACCTCGCAGCCCGCCAGGTTAGTAACCAGGGATGAATGAGGATCCGGGTGGCCCCTACGTGGCAGCCAGTAAGATTCTCAGCCTTCCTGGTTCGGGAAAGGGAAGGAATGCAGGAGGGGTAGGATTTCTTTCCTGATAGGATCAGTTGAGAAACACCGCAGCCCGTGTGTCTTTCCCTTCGACCAAAGTGTCTCTGTTGCTCCATAAATAAGACGTCTCGCTGCCGTCTGAGAGCGCTATAAAGGCAGCGGAACAGGCGTCCCCGGGGCATTCCCGGAGGGGCGCGAGCAGAGACAGGTGAGTTCACCCTGAAGATGCCCACATCCGGCCCGGGCTCCCCTCCCGGGGAGGCCTCTAGGGTTGAGGATGGGACTCGTGAGGGGACTCGAAGCAGGCGGGCAGGGGGCAGTACAGCCTTCTTTGTGAGACGCCTAGAGCGAGAAGGCGGATCGGAAAACAGGACGTGGGGACAGACTTGCTCAACACGCTGAAAGTTCTGCCCCCGGGAGGGCTGCGACCGCAGCTTGAATGTACCTGCAGCGCCCACGGCCTGGGGACCCGGGGAACGCGCCCTGAGGGTTCCACGCCTGGCCCGGGGGCCTGCTCCTCTCTCCCAGTGCGCGCCTGGAGCTGCATCCCGGCTCAGGTGCCGGGAGGGAGGGATGCTCAGTGTTCCCTTCCAGCCTTGCACGCGCCCTTGGGCCCTGCTCCAGCCCCTAGGTTTGGGGGAGATTTCAGGACGCGGACAGCACCGGGGCTGCAGGCCAGAGGGGACTAGGTGGAGCTCGGGAAGCCCCCAAAGCAGGGCTCACTGTCTTCAAGTTTGGGGAGCCCCGGGCAGCGGGTGCAGGCCGCGGGACCCGAAGGTCCTCAGGTGGCCCCCTGCAGGCTGGTCGTGCGCGCCGTGGGGCGCTTGTTGTGGGCGCCGAGGGCTGCAGGGCGCGGACCAGACTCAGGGTGTTGAACTGCAGCTGGGGGGGGGGTCGGGCGGCAGCTAACAGGTGACCCCTTTCTTTCTGTTCCTCGCCCTTCACCTCTGATGGTCCTCCCTCACCGCATCTCCTTCCTCCTCGCCGTCCTCCGGCTCTCAGGTCATGGCAGCGCCGGCCAGCAGGTCCGAGCCTCCGCAGCTCCCCGAGTACCGCTGCAGCTACGTGGTGTCGCGGCCGGTCTACAGCGAGCTAGCTTTCCAGCAACAGCACGAGCGGCGCCTGCAGGAGCGCAAGACGCTGCGGGAGAGCCTGGCCAAGTGCTGCAGGTAGCGGCCGCGCGGGCCCGCGTGGGGAGAAGCTGAGCCGCGCGTCCGCGGCTTGGGGCGGGGAGGGCGTGCCCTGCCGGCGAGCGTGGGCTGCGGGCTGCAGATCCCCTGGGCGCCAGCCGCTTCTCCTAGAGGCCCGACTTTGGGTCTCTGGTCCTCCACGCCGCCCTTCTGGCCGGAAAGTGGCTCCATCAGTCTCGGGCCCGAAATGAACTTATTTGGGAAACTCACCTTTGGCGACTGTGGCATCAGGGAGCCCCATCTCTCCTTTTCCTCTCTGAAGGAAACCTGGAGCGCCCTTTGGGGTACAGTGGGTCCTTGCTGACTTCATGGGAGGGCCAGCTTGAGGAAAAGGGAATGAAAGGAGATCGTTTAAATGAAATGAATAGGGGAACCCAGCTCTTGACCAGGAGGAGTCCTTGAAACCCTCAAGCTAAGTAGGCGGGCTACTATTCAGTTAGAGGCCACAATGCAAGCTAGCGCCCAGCGGAGCGCAGGGTGTGCGGAGTACTTCACCAGCAGGCGCTGGGACCCCTAGGGAGGGCCACCCTCAGTCTCTAAACCCAAATGTGCCTTAACGAGATATCACAAACATAAAGAAATTAGTTTCTAAAACCTTTCATTGCAGAACATTTCAAATACATGCACAAGCAGACAAGTAATGAACTCCCCCCTCCGTTTTTACCCATCACTCAGCCTCAACAGTGATCAACTCAAAGTTTATCTTGTTTCTTATATGGACATCTACTTGCCCCCTCCAGTATTATTTTTAAGCAAATCCCATTTATTGTGTATCTCTAAAGACTCTTAAAGATATAACCACATTTCATTATCACACCTTGATATCTAAAATAACTCCTTAATATTAAAAATTGAGGCATTGTTAAAATGTCCAATCATCCCATAAATGCCATAATTTAAAAAATTTATTCAAATCAGGAGTTATATAACAGTCACCTACTTTTGATATTTTTCTTTAATCTATAGGTTATTGAATTTAAAAACTGCTATGTAGCAAGATACAAGCTATTCGTTAATCATGCTAAGATTTTTGTAAAAACTAGCTCCAGACTTCTATTGCCAAATTGTACTCAGTGTGTTTATTTTCTTTAAAGAAAATAATCATAATAAGGCGCCTGGGTTAGGAGTCTGAAAATTAATCTCCGTTTAGAGACTCCACATCCATCAGTCTCTGGCTGGACCAGAAAATAGGTTTTTGTGTAGGAATATTTTCTCAGAGGATTAAAAAGGTGAGCGAGGGGTGGGACACTTAATCCTGTGTTTTCTAGAACAGTGCATTTAAAAGGATAGATACAGTTCTTGGCAAAAGCATGGTAAGCACTTCAGGATTATTTTCCATGAAATTCTTATTGTTTTCTTAATAGTTATAAACAGCAGAATTCGGTTCATAACTTTGTGATTTGCAAATTGGTTGTGACTGAGATTGGATTGAAAACCCAGTTTTCTTGCTTTTTGACAGTTGTTCAAGAAAGAGAGCCTTTGGTGTGCTAAAGACTCTTCTGCCCATCTTGGAGTGGCTCCCCAAATACCGAGTCAAGGAATGGCTGCTAAGTGACATTATTTCTGGAGTTAGTACTGGGCTAGTGGGCACCCTGCAAGGTAAGATGTTGGTGGATTGGTTCTTGAGTGATAGAGAGTTCTGGTCTCCAGCAGGAGTTTAACACTTCTCCCCAGCTACCATAGGTCTGTGACAGATGTTTACCTACCCTTCAAGGCCTTTATCTTTCCTGAAGAGCCCCTAAGTGGAGAGAGTCACCTCTTTTCTCCTCTTCCTTAGAGTTATGTTCTTGGGAAGTTGCTGCCCCACTAGCTGCGGGACTCCAATTCAGAGACATATACTAAACAGTGGCTTCTCAATTTTTTTAAAAAAAGAAATATGTGTTACATCATGGTCTGTGCATATGTATCTAAATTTTCTGTGAAATACTTATCATTACAATATGATAATTTTTCACTTTGTTCTATTCTATTATACTTAGGTTTTTAAAATGATGATTGCAGCACATTAAATTATTTTATATCCACCCACGGACCTTTTTTGTTTGTTTTGTTTTGTTTTTCTTTTTAGGTACGGAGTCTTGCTCTGTTACCCAGGCTGGCGTGCAGTGGCGCGATCTTGGCTCATTGCAACCTCTGTCTCTTGGGTTCAAGAGATTCTTGTGCCTCAGCCTTCTAAATAGCTAGGACTACAGGCATGTTCCACCATGTCAAGCTAATTTTTGTATTTTTAGTAGCGATGGGGTTGCTTCATGTTGGCCAGGGTGATCTGGAACTCCTAATCTCAAGTGAGCCGCCTGCCTTGGCATCCCAAAGTACTGGGATTACGGGCATGAGCCACCACACTCAGCCTCCCTCACATGGATCTTGAGGTGCAGTTTGAAACCGGTTTACAGAAAAGTGAAGGAAGCTTTTTAGCCTGGACTCCACATGAGTGTTTTGTCTGCCCCTCGTCCCTTTAAAAAAAAAAAAATCTTCTTATTTTAATCTTCTGGGAAAATGTACCAACATAGGTGGTTATTTATTGTTTTATAAACTGAGTTCATACTATAATATTCCCATAAACATCTTAGAAATTTGTTGTATAGTCAGTGCGTAGCATTGTGGCATTCTCCTCTGTCCCCCATCCCCACCGTCTCATTTCTGCCCCACTCCCAACACCCTGACCAATTTCTCAAAGACTCTGAATCATGAAAACAAAAATCTTCTTATTTATTATAATTTTGTGAAACACCTATTGTGTTCTAGGCACTAGGTATGCTGACATAAATAAGATGCATCATCTGCTTCCAAGGAACTCATAGTCCAATAGAGAAAGAGATAACAATTCAATGTTATAAAGGCTGTGGCAGGGATAATGTTGCTTGCTAAGGGAATGCAAATGAGGTGCACTCACACCAGTCTTAGGGGATCAGGAATGGCTTTTTGGAAGTTGAATGTCAAAGCTGAGTTTCCCTGATGGCTAAGTCTGAGTTTGTTAAGTGATGGGAAGTAGGGTGAGGTGGGGATGGCTTGAAAATACACTATTTCAGAAGCCAGTAATGAATGTAGAGCAATATTGTGAGCTAAAATTTGGCTGTGGATCTCTCAAGATTGCTCGGATCAAGACAGGTAGATGCCCACAGAGAAGGAGGATGTCCTGTGAACATAGGGCGGAGTCTCAGCCTGATCAAGCACGTTCTTAGTAACAAAGGTGGATGAGAGAGAGTAGGATGGGCTGTGAGGTTCATAAGTTAACAGTGCCAAGTATTCACATTGTGCTCTAAGGAATGTGACATGGCAATACCCTGTGACTTCTGGGGGACAGGAACCATGCCTAATTCATGTTTGTTCAGCAGGAGGCTAGCACAGAGACTGGCATATAATAGATGGTATATTTAGTGAAAATGACTGAATTGCATTCCTGATAATGAATCCTCTTTATGTATAAAAATGGCTCCATGTCTCCCCAGTTTTCATAGACAAGTATCTTATAAGAATTCATTTTGTTCATAAGTATCATCAGACACTGTGCTAAGTAAGAATGTTGCCAGTTATCTCATTTAATTCTCATAACAATCCTGCTAGGTAAGTCTACTATTATTTCATTTTCAATAGGGGAGAAATCTATTAAATCTTGCCCAAGGCCATGTAGCTGGTAAGTGGTACAGTTGTGATTTTAATCCAGTGTCTATTGTGTAGTTCCTTACTTTATGGGTAATATATGTTTCTAGAAACATCTCTATAAGTTATCTGTGTAAGGTGAATTTCTGGGAGGTTAATCTGGCTCACTTATACATCCATTTATCATTCATTCACTTAATACATATTTATAAACTAGATCTGTAGGCCAGGTATCCAGCCATGTGGATTCAGTGGCTCATTAACAGGCACAGGTGCTGACTTCATGGAGCTTCTAAAAATTATTTTAAAGGGTAGGAATGGGAATTAAATAAGAAGATAAATAGAAAAATGATTATAGATTGCAATATCTATTGTGGTGGATTAAATATGCTATAATGCAGATTAATTTGAAAGGCAGGTCTTTATTTTTATTTTTGTATTTTTGTGAGACAGGGTCTCACTCTGTTGCCCAGGCTGGAGTGCAGTGGTGAGATCACAGCTCACTGCATTCGTGGCCTCCTGGGCCCAGGTGAACCTCCCATTCCAGCCTCCTCAGTAGCTGGAACTACAGGCATGTGCCACCATGCTTGGCTAATTTTTGTATTTTTATAGAGACAGGGTTTCACCATGTTGCCCAGGCTGGTCTGGAACTCCTAGGCTCAAGTGACTTGCCTGTTCTGCCTCCCAAAGTTCTGGGATTACAGGTGTGAGCCACCGCACCCAGCCAGGAAGGGAGGTCTATTTTAAATACAGTGGTCAAGAAAGACCTTACTGAGAAGGTGAAATTTAGTCAAAGACCAGAGGATAAGGAGACAGCCATGTGATATTCAGAAAAAAAAAGTGTACCACGTAAAGGTGCAAAGGCCCTGATACCAGAAAACAGTATTTTCCAGGGAGGAAAAGGAAGAATTGTAGTATGGTGAGAGCAGTGGGGGAGGGTGGGTAAACCATGAAATAAATTGAGCCAGGACTGGGATTAGGGTGAGGTAAGTGAGGCACTGACTCTCAGTATGCCTCTTTACTGTGCCATAGGCACCTCACCTGCCTCACCCTGTTCCTAGCCCTGTGGGGATATTGCTATGAATTAAAGGAAGAACAGGTGTGTCAGCTTGAACCAGAAGAGGCAGGCTATGAAGAGAGCTGCAAGATCTGGACTATATTGTGCAGCAAGAATCACTGATGCATGCTGATAAGTGTCGATGAAAATCACAGATGCCTCCAGGGTTGTTGGCTTGAGCAACCAGGTAGATGTTACATCATTTATCTAAATGGCAAAGACAGGCTGAGGAGCAGGTTTCGGATAGGAAACCAAGTTTCCTTTTGGATCTGCTAAGTTTGAGATGCAGGTGAGACATCTAAGTGGAGATGCCAAATAGGCAAGTGGGAGCAACTGCAAGTGTGAAGGTCAGAGGGGAGGTCTAGGCTAGACGTAAAAATCAGGAAAGTATCCCTGAAGAGGTGATATTTATAAGAGTGGGAATGCCTGTGATTACCTAGGAAGAAAGGGCAGGTGTGGAAGAGGAGAGAGCCAGAGTACTTAGAGGTTAGGAAGGCGAAGAGGGAGCCAGCCAAGAACCTGAGAAAGCTGGACCCAGGAAGTTGAAGACAAAGAACAACCAAAGGAATGTGGGGTCAGAAGCCAAGAGAGAAGGTTTAAAAACAAACAAAACAAAAAAACAAAAAAGCAAAGCATAGAGGGGCTGACAGTCTTGAATATGCCTGAGCGGTGGGGTATGATGAAGGATTACAGATTGCTTTTAAGAAGTTTTGCCATGAATTGAAGGGAGATAAGACAAAGGTAGAGTGAAGGGAGAATTTGTTTTTCTTAATATGTGAGATGCTAGAACATATTTGTGAACTGATAGGAATAACCTAGTGGAAAGAAAGAGATCTGTGGTGCAAGAAGCACAGGAGAAATAACTAGAAGCAAAGTAGTAAAAAGGGGCAAGTGTGGATGGGTTTGAGAACAGAATTGGAATTACTCCTTAAAGGCAGGAGAGATATTTCTTCCATTTTCAAAGGAAGATAGCCCAAATGGTGCAGATGCAGATAAGTTTGAAATTTTGATGAAAAGCAACTTGGGAGTATCTCATGGATTCTGTGTTTTTGATTAAATGCAGAATATGTCTTTAACTTTGAGTCCGGTGGAGAAAGATTTGGGCAGATTGAGGTAAGTAGGGGAGGTTTGAATAGTTGTCTCAGGGAGAGGAAAAGCACTCCCCCTGAGGAAATGTAATTGGGTCCCCAGGCAGTGCTGAGTGCACATCTGGGACTTGTGATCACACAGTTTTCATGAAATTGGTTAGCCCAGTTGTAGATTCCTTCAGTTCAGTGTATCTTGCTGCTCGAAGGCTGTCATGGAAAAGGTGAATATTTGAAGTCAGCCAAACTGGGGTTTTGCCAGACAAGAAAAGGAAGGAGGGAGAGAATAAAACAAGGGAGTTAAGAATATTTGAAAAATTCCATGGAATCTGCGCTGGGCAATTGTGGAAGTGAAGACAGGAAGGTGTGGAGACTAGGGAGAAAGTGAATCTGTTAATTGATTAGAAGCCTCACGAGGACAAACAAATGAGGCAGTAAGGATTCTGGGGTAGGTGAGCTGAAAGGCTTGGAGGCTGTAGCTGGAGAGGGGCTCAAAATTCAGATTTCAGAGGTGGTGTTGCAGTTTCCATTGATGACAATGTCCATGATGTAACCACTGGCTGAGTAGCTGACTAGTAGTATAAAAACTCATCAGACAAGACCAGCTCAGGTTACTGGGAAGCCAGGAAATTGCTGCAGATGATGGGAGCTTTCTGATTTTTGTTATTAAAAAAATTCCCATCAGGCAGCAGATCAATGCAACCTTTGTAGTACTATCTTTATTCACAGCTTTACAGAATCTGCTGTCTGCTTTCTACTTTGGACTTTTATTTATTTGTTTTTTTAAACAACAGAAATTTATTTCTGCAACATTAAGGTGCCTACAGATTCCGTTTCTGGTGAGGGCCCATCTCCTTGCGACATCTCACGTGGTGGAAGGCTTTACCTTTAGATGAAATTTAAATTTAATATAAATTTCAACTGTTTATTAGCACCTGCTTTATCAGTACACGTCACCATCCTATACATCATAACTACCAGCACAGAGTTTCCATCATTTAAATCAATGGCTCAGATTTCTTTTAATCAATTTTTTTTTTTTTTTGAGACAGAGTCTTACTCTGTCACACAGGCTGGAGTATAGTGGTGTGATCTTGGCTCACTGCAACCACCACCTCCCAGGTATAAGCGATCCTCATGCCTCAACCTCCTGCATAGCTGAAATTACAGGCGTATACCACCACCCCCAGCTAATTTTTGTATTTTTAGTAGGGATGGCGTTTTACCATGTTGGCGGGGGTGGTCTCAAACTCCTGGCCTCAACCGATCCACCCACCTCGGCCTCCCAAAATGCTAGGTTTACAGGCATGAGCCATCATGCCTGGCCCCAGATTTCTTCACAAATTGTATAATTTTAAAGCTGTTGTACCAAGTTTTCTTTATAATAAAGATGATTACAGTATATTTGAGTAGTAGTGGTCTCTAAACGGGACATTCTATATGAAAATGGAAAAGTTCCCTTTTCCAGGCATATTAAGAACTGCAGGCTGGGTGTGGTGGCCCACGCCTGTAATCCCAGCACTTTGGGAGGCTGAGGTGGGGGGATCACCTGAGGTTGGCAGTTCAAGACCAGCGTGCCCAACATGGAGAAACCCCATCTCTACTAAATATACAAAATTAGCCAGGTGTAGTGGTGCATGCCCGTAATCCCAGCTACTCAGGAGGCTGAGGCCGGAGAATTGCTTGAACCCAGGAGGCAGATGTTGCGATGAGCTGAGATCGCGCCATTGTACTCCAGCCTGGGTGATAAGAGTGAAACTCCATCAAAAAAAAAAAAAAAAAAAAGGGAACTGCAGAGCCCTGTTTAGGGCAATGAAGTTTGGGAAGGACTTAAAAAATGTCCATATGAAATAGACAAGCTGTGTTTTCATTTCCTGCTCCTTCTTTTCTTGTCTTCCTTCTTTGGAGTCAGCTTCCTATTCTATTCCATGCTCTTGGGACTACTGACTATTGCAATTCCTTTTCGTAATTTATATATTAAAACAGTTGCACTAATCGATGTATTTTTCTAGAATACAAACTCCACCAGGGCAGAGACTTTGTTTTAACAGTGTCTGACACATGGTAGGTGCATAGTCAATACTTGTTGAATGAATGAATGCTTATTGTAGAAAACTAAAAAATACATATAAGGAACATGAAAAATATCTCCACCACAAACTAGAAGTCTCCTCTGATTCTACCATACAGATAATCCATTAATATTTTAGTAAATATCTTACTAGACACATAAATATGTATCTATATAAAAGTATAATGAAATGTCTGGAAATAATAACCACCAAATTAAGGATAGTTGTTGCTTCTGAGGTTGGAGGGAGGAAAGAGGATGTGATTGAGGAAGAGTACACTGAGAGTTTCCATTGCAATGGGAATAATTTATTTCTTAAGTTAGATGATGGACATATGAAAGTTTTTTTGACATATTATTCATTGTCTTTCTTGTATATCTGAATTACTTCATATTATATTCAAAATACCACCAGATTTTTTAATGCATACAACATACATGTGTACTTTTACAAAAGTAGGAGCATACATACTTATCAGTTTTGAATCTTGATTTTACTCACTTTATTTCCTTTTACTTCACATCTCTCCACGTCAGTTAATGTACTTCTGTGCATCACATCAATTTCATTTCATAGAATTGCGAAGTATGAAGCATAACTTAGTTAACCACTTCCCCACTTGGGGACATTCATCTGACAAATAATATTGAGTGCAAGGGGGCCAGCATATTCAGGTTGTTGCCACTTTTATTAACTACTATAAGTAATTCCTTATTAATGACTCAAGGGTTAAAAGGCTTGATTTTCTCTCATTGTGAGTGAGTAAAGAGTGAGGAGGAAAATGAAGTAAGATATGCTGACTACCTAAGTATTTAACTAGGGAAAAGAATGTCATTATCTTCTTCTAACCCATGTGTAAACTAGAATGTTTATTTCTCTATAGTCAGATATTCACAGGCCTGGAGGCTGCTGGCATTGTGTAGTGGAGGAGTTGGCCAACTTCATCAGGGTAGAGTTGTCTTGTTTGCTGCTGTGTGTAATTGCCATATTTTTTCTTTGGATCTAACTTTACTGCCCCACCAAGAAAGGAAAAAGGGCAGTGCAACCATGACTGTGACCCTCAGAACACAGAGAAACACTGAGCTCAGATACAACTGCCTCCGTGCAAAACTGGTCTGAGCCTTTGGACTGAATTGACCAAGTCTTTTTTTTTTTTTTTTTTTCTTTGCTAGACACAAGATCTTGCTCTGTTGCTCAGGCTGAAGTGCAGTGGCATGATCATAGCTCGCTGTAACCTCAAATTCCTGAGCTCAAGCAATCCTCCTGCCTCAGCCTCCTTAATAGCTAGGACTATAGGCGTGAACCAATATGCTGGGCTCATTCATTTTACTGTAGAGATGGAGTCTTGCTATGTTTTCCAGGCTGGTCTCAAATTCCTGGGCTCAATTGATACTCCTGCCTGTGGCCTCCCAAAGCACTGGGATTATAGGTGTGGGCCACCACACCCAGCCTGACTAAGCTTTTGATCGATGGCTGACTTGATTGTTTTTTCCCACTGATCTGATCAGGGGTTGACTGAAGTACTGATCAATTGAGTCAATTCATTAGAGCAGGTGATGTTTGTAGATGCAATCATTGTTTCAGCTGATTTGGATCCGGTTCTACATCCTAAGGAGGCCAACTCAGGACAGGCTGATCTGTTGAAACTGTAAATTGAGAGTATCTGTGTAAAGGCCCTTCTTTGCACAGTAGAAAGACAGATGCTCCTCTACTTACCATGAGATTACGTCCCAATAAACCCATTGCAAGTTGAAAATATTTTAAGTCAAAAATGCTCTTAATACACTTAACCTATGGAACATCATATCTTAGCCTATCCTAACTGAAATGTGCTCAGAACAGTTACAATAGCCCACAGTTGGGCAAATAATCTAACACAAGGCTATTTTATAATAAAGTATTGAATATATTATGTAATTCATTGAATAATGTACTGAAAGTGAAAAACAGAATGGTTGTGTGGTTAAAGTATGGTTTCTACTGAATGTATATTGCTTTTGCACCATCATAAAGTCAAAGTCCTAAGTAGAATCATTTTAAGTTGAGGACTTTCTGCATACCATAACTTTCATTTGTGAATTTAATCACTTTGGATGTGCTTTCAGGGATGGCATATGCCCTACTAGCTGCAGTTCCTGTGGGATATGGTCTCTACTCAGCTTTTTTCCCTATCCTGACATACTTTATCTTTGGAACATCAAGGCATATCTCAGTTGGTAATTATAAGTATATTTTACAATTATATTTGCTCATGTTTAGAGTGTTTTGGCTATATTAAGTGCATTATATCTCTATTATATTGATGCAAAAATGATTCCAGTTTTTGCAATTACACTTTTAATTGCGAAAGCCACAATTACTTCTGCACCAACCTAATTTATCTTTGTTAATCTTTTCAGGGAAATAGAGTTTCAGTGTTTTGTCTACTTTTTCTGTTCAATGATGTTAGGTAACTTTTTATAATGAAGAGGAAATATTGAAAAACAAAATTACAGCCTGCCTTAACATTTTAGCATGTAGCATGTTTTGATTTTTAAAAACATGATAAATTTGACTCCAAATTTAGAAAGTATTCTCTTCCAAAATATGAAATGGCAGGGAAAAAAATGACACAAAGACTTTGAACCTACCATTTTACCAGATTAGCTTATAAATGACTAAGTATGCTCATCAAATACGTGTTTATGATTTGATTAAGGAACATACTGATTTAAAATCACTAATATTAGAAGACTGGTAAGATCTTACCAAAACAATTTAGAAGCTAAGCTTGAATTTTTTCTTGCTATGACTTATAATGAATTTTCCAGCTTTTCCTAAAATTTGAATTCTCTTTTGTTAGAATGTCCTAGTAAACGAGTGTTTTAATGCTATTTTGTGACTTTGACATTTATACTACAGAAAATTTTGCTCCTACATCCATCTGCTGGCTAGACATGTCTACCTCAATGATCCTCTTGAAATAAATGCAACCATCTATTTTATCCTCAACCCATGTTTTTGTCCTTAGTTGTATTTCCTCAGGAGGAGAGCAGAAAGTCGTTATTGACTGAAAGAGCATCCTCACCTTAGAGAATAAATTAGTATTGAATGATTGACTAGACGAGAAACATGGAAGCTGATTTTCTCCTGGGTATTCTATACATTGAGACATTCCAGGTGACTGGGGTTAGGTTTTGAGACCTCAGAACCATAAAGGCTTCCATGATCAAAGGGCAGAAATCATTATCATCATCATGGATAAAAATAACAGTAGTGAATGGAGCAGTTGCTGGAAAAAAATTATATTTTTTAAAACATAAAATCTTACAGATTGACATTGATATGAAAAAAATGTTGTATCATACAAAAGGAAAAAGAAACTTCATACTCCCTTTGCTGTTTTTTTATCCTAACTTCGACCCTGTGCTATTGATCAAGGTTCTCAGATCCACAGAGATCAGGACATTGGACACTCTAGGAATTAATGAAATCATATGAAATGAAAGTTGAGTGGAATAAGTAAAAACTCAATGTGTGTGCTACCTTTGCCAGGAACCCTTTCCTGACAACTCTCATCCTCGGCCCCACCACCCATACACATGAGGATCACACATAGACAGATTAGACGACCTTCTGACATACTCACAAAGCATCCTGAATGTTGTATTGTAATAATTACCTACATGTCTCTCTTGCCAATTTCTGGGTCATGAATGCCTTGAGACATCTGCTTGTTAAGCTTCTTTTTGTTGTTGTTATTGTTGACACAGGATCTAGCTCTGTCACTTAGGCTGGAGTGTGATGGCGTCATCTCAGCTCACTGCAGCCTCCTCCTCCCCTACTCAAGCAATCCTCCCACCTCAGCCTCCCAAGGAGCTAGGATCATAGGGATGCAGTACCACACCCAGATAATTTTTGTCTTATTTTGGAAAAGATGGGGTTTCACTATGTTGCTCAGGCTGGTCTAAAACTCCTGGGCTCAAGCGGTCTTCCTACCTCAGCCTCCCAAAGTGCTGGGATTACAGACGTGAGCCACTGTATCCGGCTTAGCTTCTTTTGTGAACAAACAAGATTTTCCTAGTCACAGCTAAATCTTTTACATGTCTTTTAAATCCTATGTAGACACATTGAACATTTGTTATTAATAACTGATTCTTAGAGACTTTTTTTTCCCCAGGACCTTTTCCAGTGGTGAGTTTAATGGTGGGATCTGTTGTTCTGAGCATGGCCCCAGATGAACACTTTCTCGTATCCAGCAGCAATGGAACTGTATTAAATACTACCGTGATAGACATTGCAGCTAGAGATACAGCAAGAGTGCTGATTGCCAGCACCCTGACTCTACTGGTTGGAATCATACAGGTAATGAACTTACAGATAAAATATAAATTGGTATAATTTTAATTTGAGATTAACTTTAAAGCATATACACTTAAAGCTTCTTCTAAAAACAAAACAAAGTAATTTCCTGGAACCCAAAATTATTTTCTAAATTACGTTGTTTTAGATCAGATGCTAAAATAGTCAGCAAGAACCCACTTATTAAGGCTCACTTATCATCAAAGTCAGAGACAGAAAAAAAGCACAGAAGAACATGTGTGACTCAATTGAGGAAAAGAGAAGGGAAGTATACGGGAATCCATAAAGGAGAAAAAAGTGTTCTGATGAGCAGAGACACGGGACTGAAAGCATAAGCTGTGGATTTTTGCTTTTCTGAGTACATGTATAAAAATATTTCAAGGTTTTTATTATTCACGGTTTTCAAATTTTAGAGTGGAGGAGGAAGGGGAGTGATTAGGGCATTAAGAAATTCGTATTTTTTTCCTACAGATATTTTTGTGCTGTAGGTAGGCTACCAGTGTTTTAATTGGTATTAAGCTTAATTTAATATTTCCAGAGAGTTGGTTCCTATCTCAGGCAAACATTTAATTTGTGTTTCCTTTTTTTTTATCCTAGCTGATATTTGGAGGTTTGCAGATTGGATTCATAGTGAGGTACTTGGCAGATCCTTTGGTTGGGGGCTTCACAACAGCTGCTGCCTTCCAAGTGCTGGTCTCACAGCTAAAGATTGTCCTTAATGTCTCAACCAAAAACTATAATGGAGTTCTCTCTATTATCTACGTAAGTGTTGCTTCTTACTCCAGAGCTGGGTCACTGTTCATTCCAGAAACAATTGTATTCATTCTCTCTCTGAGTCTGGGCTGGGCACGGTGGCTCACATCTGTAATCCCAGCAGTTTGGAAGGCCATGATGGGCGAATTGCTTGAGCCCAGGAGTTTGAGACCAGCCTGGGCAATATGTGAGATCTCATATATAAAAGAAAAAAAAAATCCAAAAATCCAAAAATTCACCAGGTGTGATGGGGCACACTTGTAGTCTCAGCTACTTGGAAGGCTGAGGTGGGAAGATCTCCCGAGCCCTGGAGGTTGAGGCTGCAGTGAGCTGTGATCGCCCCACTGCACTCCATCCTGGGTGATAGAGCAAGACCCTGTCTCAAACAAAAACAAAACTAAAGCAAAATAAAACAAAACTTGAATCTGGAGAACCCACATTTCTCTACGCATACTTTGGGAGCCATTGAAAATATTTGGTTGCTTCTCTCAGAAATACTATTGTACTTAAAAACATGAATGAAGACAAAGTGGTATAACGCAGTAAAGACTGCTCTGGAATGTAACAAACTTGATTTCCAGCCTCAGCTTTGCCTCTAACAGGTAAGTGACCCTGAATACATCATGTAGGATACTAACTGAAAGCTCAGGTTTAGAACTGGGTGGACCTGAGTTCAAATTCTGACTCTACTGTCTACTAGGCATGTGAGCAAATCACCATGCCTCAGTTTCCTTCTCAGCAAAATTGTGTTAGTGATAGCATATACCACATTGAGTTGTTAAATAAGAATAGATAAGCACTTGGCCCAGGGGCTGATACATAACAAGTACTCTAAAAAAGGGCGTTATTTTGAAATTCTTATTTCAAGGCATCTTTTCTTATTGGTGAAATGAAATGATTGGAGATGTATCTCTAAAAGCTTTTTCTAACCGTGAGAGTCTGTAAAATGCATAATGTAAATGTCTCAACAATTATAGATGAAAAGGAACATTAGATTCAGAGATGATTCACCATGCAAAAGAAATGCAAAAGCAGGATGTAGATCACACTAATTAGATTTGAAAAAGGTCTTGGATCTAAAAATGTGTTCTATATAAAGCATGTTATTGATGCTTGAAAAATGGTGATAATAGTAACATGATGTCATCCTAGCTTGGAGGGAACAATGCCATACAAAAATAACGTACCACATTAAGAATGGAGTTTGAGTCTTTAAAGACCCACCTGTTAGCTTCTAAAACAATGTAAGGCCATGTACACATATCTGAGAATTGGTGAGGTTATCAGGAATTGCTCAATTTTGTAACAGTGCCATAATCCCATACTATTATACTCCATTCATTCAACAAATATTGCCAAGTACTTACTACAGGCCAGGCACTACGCTAAGCAGTGAGAATAGATAGAGGAGGCAGAAAAACATAGTGATTAAGATCATGAGGCCAGGTGTGGTGGCTCATGCCTATAATCCCAGCAGTTTGGGAGGCTGACATGGATGGATCACTTGAGTCCATGAGTTTGAGACCAGCTTGGACAACATGGCAAAACCTTGTCTCTACTAAAAATACAAAAAATTACCCATGCATGGTGACACGCACTGGTAGTCTCATTGACTTGGGATGCTGAGGTGAGAGGATCACCTGAGCTCAGGAAGTTGGGGCTGCAGTGAGCCAAGATCATGGCACTGCATTCCAGCCTGGGTGATGGGAGTGAGACCCCATCTCAAACAACAATAACAGCAACAACAACAAAAACAAACAAAAATGATAATCAACTTTGAACTTCAACAGACTTGAGTTGGAGTCTTGGTTCTACCAGCCACTACCCATGATGCTTATACTCAACTTCCTTAAGCCTTAGTGTCTGCAATTGTGAAATAGGAGTAGTGATAGTAGCTACCTCTTAGAGCTGGGAGGATTTAAAAAGAAAATATGTGTAAGACACTTAGCTTAACATCTGGCACGTGGTAAGGACTAAGTTTTTTATTATTATTATCACATATGAATAGACCTTATGAAGCTCACCGTTCACTTCCTCAGGATCTAGCCTATTAGAAGACATTAGCAAAACTTTTTGATTCAGCATTATATTGGTAATTCTTGATATATTTTTCCTGTCAAGTCCTCAGTTTTCCATCAATTTCTTTTTTTTTTTGAGACAGGAGCTTGCCCCATTGCCCGGGCTGAACTGCAATAGCTCAGTCATAGCTCACTGCAACCTCCATCTCCCTGTGTTAAGCGGTGCTTCTGCCCCAGCCTGCTGAGTAGCTGGGACTACAGGTGTATACCACCACACCTGGCTAATTTTCTTTTTCTTTGTTGAATCTTAGTAGAGATGACGTCTCACTGTGTTGCCCAGGTTGGTCTTGAACTCCTGAGCGCAAGTGATTCTCTTACCTTGGCCTCTCAAAGTGCTGGAATTACAGGAGTGAGCCACCATGCCCAGCCCATATTTAAACATTAAAATAAAATTTTAAGATTTTTTTGGGGTAGAGATGGGTTTTGCCGTGTTGCCTAGGCTGGTCTTGAACTCCTAACCTCAAGCAATCCTCTTACTGCAGCCTCCTACGGTGTTGGGATTATAGGTGTGAGCCATTGCACCTGGCCAATCCTTAGATCTTTTTGAGATCTCTGACTGCCTTATTTTGACAGGCTCTGTAACTTTTGCAGCCCCTGGCACATCTTGCTTTTACTTACGTTCACATTTTCTTCATCGAATGTTCACTCATTTATTCCTTCATTCTCATTCATTCAGTTTATCTATTCAGTAAACATATACTGAATATCTACCATGTACCAGGCACTGTTCACTCCCTATACAAGTCCACTGAATCCTTAAACTACCAAGACATCCCTTACTGAGTATACTCACCTCATTGTGCAAACATGGCTCGGCCTTCATCTACACAGATCACAGGAGGCCCAAATTAATTGTTGACCTGGGTCCCTGGCCATTGCAGGACCCCCACAGAACAGGGGAGATAGTTCTTCTGGTCTCCTAGCATTATGTTTAAGAAGAAATTTTCTGCAAATGATTTTACTTTGACAGGGACAAAAGTGACCAGGAAACACTAGACCAAGGTCAAAAATAGTTTTTAAACCAAGTGCAGTCATGTTGTAACTTATTTCCTGTTAAATATTTTTCTTGACGTCTCAGTTTAGCATATAGCATAGAATTTTGCAAGAAATTCTTCACAGGCCAGCCAAGTTGGAGAAGGTATTTCAATCATCTTTATGTGGTGATAAATATATGTTTGCTCTTCTGAAAAAAAAAGAAAAAAAAGAATCAGCAGGTCTGAAAATGATTGCATGGGGTTGAATGAGCCACTTAGTCCTTGAACAGAGAATTTTGCTTATGACATTGCCATTGCAATTATACATGAAAGAATCTTTCAATACATGCAGAGTAGTAGAGGATTCTCCCAGGAAAAAGTGTAAGATTGTTGTAAAATACATTTCCTGGAATGTTAACTTATCTTTGTTCTAAGGTTGTGCTTTGGTTTGTCTTGCCCTCTCCCCCAAAGAGGTACTGACAACTGGAAATAATGAATGCAAAGAAATACGGGAGAAAATATTAGGAGAAAAAGAAAGCAGTTAATTCACAAATGCCAGAGAGACTGGATATAGGAAGCAGAAGGGAGAAAGACAGGGTACTGGCAGCAATTTAGAATTAGTTAATACCCTTGATGCTACCATGTAGCTACTGTTAGCTAAGTAAGTCCCACAGTCCACTTAGGATTGATTTCCCACCATTCAATTTGAGTGGTTTGTCTCAGTAGACAAGGGTGAGAGCTTTGAAAGTCACCACTAAACTTGATTAGATTTGTTGCTTTGCACCTATTTCACTGTGAAAAATTTACGCCATTATACTAAAGTAACAGTTTAAGGGTTGCTCTATACTTATATACACAAAAGATATGGTAGCAGGAAATGCCTGATAGCAAAAGGTGGTTGAGAATGGTTTGTGATATTTGTGGAGATAAACTAAAAAAATTTCAGCTCTAAGAGTAAACTGATAAATTTTCTCATACACATTAGTGGGCATAATTTCTTATGGCTTCATCAACCCAGGTAATCCTGGGCAAGAACAAAGACATTGTCTAAATGAAATTGTCCTAAAATTGCCCAAACACAGCAGGAATTACAGTAAAACGTTATCTATTACCAAAAATTTCATTATCATGATTTGAATTATTTAGAATACTAAGCTGAAATACAGAATCATATGTGTGTCCATATTATAAACATTTTGTAGTATTTTAACAGTAAATTACAAGCACTGTTCAGTGCTTTTGTAGAGTCTAATTTCTATGTCTTTAAATATAATCCATTTCAGTTTACATGCTGAGTTTTATTTCTACACAAACTAAACTTTCTATCATAGAGCTCTTCTTAAAAGATTCTGAATGATTATTCAGGATGTAGGCAACTCATTTATATACTCAGATGCCTTGCATGATGCAATTGTGTAATACAAACTGATTTTGGTTTTTGAACCCCATATTACATTTTTAATCCACAAGACATACTTTTTATTCAAAGGTCTAAGTGATTCTCATCGACTAAACTGAAATCCTGTAGTGATTATTTTTGTAAGGTGAAAATATTTTTGCAATAGGGATAATTATTCCAAATGTTTTGTTTTTCAAGTTTCAATTTTTGCCTCTTGAGTTGAAAAGCAAACCTTTAATGAATAGACAATTTATCAAAATATTATGCCTAGCTCATGAATTAATCAGGGTCATCCATCAGAAAATTAATTATGTAAAGGACCAAACAGCAATGATAACTTCAAGCCTCTGGGGTAGGTAGGACTGTTTGCTCCTGTGTGAAATGCCCTGAATTCTTGTTATTGTGTCTTCTGGTGGTAGTTGTCCCATTTTCTTTTTCACTCTGCTATCCCCCCTGGCTTCATCTTGTTTCTGTCAATGTATCTGCCTTTAGCAATTTTCAGTGACTCTGAAAAGCAGACAAAGTGAAATAGTTAGTACTGGGTTTAAAGTAAGAGGAAAAGTACCCACTGAGTGAAAGTTCAAGAGTCTTCCTACAAGTTAAATGCCTGCACTCTAGTCCAAGTGCTTGGTGGGAGGTATTTTGCTTGCATAATAACTTCTCCCCCATTCCCTCACTCTTGAAAGTGTTCCAGAGAGTTGAGGTTGCTGGCAAATCGACTACTAGATTACTTAAGCTTCATTAAGTACTTAAAGTTCATTTAGTTCATACATTTATTGTCACCAGATTACCACTATAATTATTTTAAAAGTAGTTTATCTGTAAAAATGAGTAAAATACGTGTTATAAACTCTAAGATGCTCCATTCTTTTATCTTCCTACGAAAATATGTCTATAAAAGTCTCATTTAAAGAACAGTTATCTTTACTGAGAGATTGTCTCAAAGAACTGTCTCAAAGATACCTTCTTGAATCATGCCTTGTACAGGACTGAAGGTAATATAACAAAGACAATGCTCTTCCCTGGGATTCTTCTTTGCTAACTTCCTTGAAAACACCCTTGATTCCCAGAAGTCTCCTATTTACAAAACAAAACTAGTTTTTCTTGAATTGATTCATCTGTCTACTTAAAGATTTTTTTTGGCCAGGCGTGGTGACTCATGCCTGTATCCCCAACACTTTGGGAGGCTGGGCAGGAGGATTTCTTGAGGCCAACAGTTCAAGACCAGTCTGGGCAACAAAATGAGACCCACCCCCCAAATCTACAAAAAATAAAATAGCCTATTTATTGTAGTCTCTACAATAAATAAAATAAATATAGATGCCTGCCTGTAGTCCCAGCTACTCTGGAGGGTGAGGTGGAAGGACTGCTTGAGCTGAGGAGTTTGAGGCCACTGCACCCAGCATGGGCAACAGAGCAAGATCTTGTCTCAAAAAAAAAAGTTTTTTTTTTTTTTTTTTTTTTAATGTTATCTTAGTTCAAGTTTGATAAATAAAATTAAGTACCAAAGTTATTTCCAAAAATTTATGCTTGGCCTATATGTCAATTCAGTAGCTTTTCTTTGCCATAAAGAATGAATCAGTCTACCTGTATCCACATATGGAGTATTTTAGGATTTTTTGTTGTTGTTGTTATCTGTATCATTCAGGTTTAGGAAAGAGCTTTACCTAAAACACTGGCTAATTGTGACGAAAAAAATATAGAAAGAAACACACACACATACACACACACACACACAAACACACACACACACACACACCCCCCAACCACTGATCAACTGAAAGTTTCATATTTATCAGCTTTTAGTCTCAATAATATCACCATAGTGAAAATCAGGCTACTTAATAATACCTATAAACCCATTTCAAGATACAAACTTGTAAAGCTTTTCTTCAAGTAAAAGGCAGTATGTTTATAATGACATTTTTTCTTTTAAGACATTTTTATTATTATAAAAAATATAGAGAAGCAAAAATAAGAATGTAGAAATCACCCAGTTTTTCCTTTCCAAGTAAATGATCATAAAAAATTGGTATATATATTGCAGCAATTGTATGTATCTAATGGTCTCTCTATCAACCAACACATTTTTATCACTTTCCTGAAACTTTCAAGTGTGGTTTGATGCTGATATCAAGGTTCTTTGTGTGGAAAGATTTGTATGAGAATTGTGTATGTGTGTGTGTGCATGTGTGTGTGGCAGCAGGAAGTATATAAAATTATTTTCTTTTTATAGACGCTGGTTGAGATTTTTCAAAATATCGGTGATACCAATCTTGCTGATTTCATTGCTGGATTACTCACCATTGTCATCTGTATGGCGGTTAAGGAATTAAATGATCGATTTAGGCACAAAATACCAGTCCCTATTCCTATAGAAGTCATTGTGGTAAGTAGAATATGTAGTTAGAAAAGTCAGCATTATTTGGTTGACAAGCAAGGAATTATTAAAACCAATGGAGCTTTTTTTTTTAATATCTTTTGTTTTATTTCAGACGATAGTTGCTACTGCCATTTCATATGCAGCCAACCTGGAAAAAAATTATAATGCTGGCATTGTTAAATCCATCCCAAGGGGGTGAGTATTGTGTTGCTCTTAGACAGTACTAATACAGTCCTTTTTACTTAATGAAACATTTATTACAAACTTCGTTTCACTGATGCTCCTATTTGTGTGTGATCTTGAAGAAACAACCATAAGAAACAGTATGTGTGTAGATAAATGTCAACCCATTTGTTTAAAGCAGCCCCTATATGCTGTTTTATCTTCATTTTCTTAAAATACGGCAGTACATGTGCAGTTAACACCAGACTCCTGATTTAAACTTATACATAAAGTTATAATACAATATAAATAGAATCATTTCTTAGTAACATCTATTGCACTGTGAACAATCTGCTTTAAGAATCAGGGATATCTGGCCTAAATTCTCTACCATCTAGTTTAATCAGTCTTAGGTAATAATTATATCCTTCGTATCTATAAATAAAATGCATTATCTTCAAGGGAAGTTTTAGAAATGTTTGGTAGTTTGGTGAATTAGCAGAGTAAAAGACCAAGACCCTTCATTCATTTCTGTCACTACCCAGTTTTGTGACCTAAGGAGATTCTCCTGTATAAGACAAGGATAAGGAAAACAGCTGAAGCCTCAACTCAAGCTTGTTGTGAAACACCAGTGAGATCTCTTATGAAACAGAGAAGAGACAAAGTACCCTGTGCTATAATTTTCTTATATGGGTTTACAAAGGAAGCCCAGATGTTTATTTGTAACAATCACTTATAACATTTAAGACTGGACATGCTGTTAATCAAGAAGTACCGGTGTTCCCTCCCTTAGGATTAGCAGAGGGACTTGGTACCAGTGTTTGTTTTCCATGCTCTTCATAGAAACTTCTTCAGGCAAGCTTATTCCCAGAGCTTATTCCACAGGGAACTGCTGTATTTCCATTTGATTCTTCTAATGCCTGTGTCAAAATATTTGAAAAAGGACAACTGGCTACATGGAACTTAATTTACATGCTATATCCATTATAGTGTTTCTCAAACTTACCCTTTTGTAAGAATCGGGATTCTTTTTCACACAGATTCCTGGTTCCCACCCCAAACCTATTGAATCAGGCTTTCCAGAGGAGGGGCTCAGGAAATCATATTTTTCAAAAGTGCCTCAGGTGATCTTGCCCTCAGGGAAACTGGAGAACCTCTTTAAAAGGATCAACAAATCTAATTGAACAATTAGATGATTTCCGGAGTTAGAAAGAATTAAAGAAAAAGATACTTTACAGAGCCCTTTGTCAGGCTTCCTAGGATGTATTAAGTTATAGGTGGTCCACAGAGCAGGCCCTATCCCATCCATCTGTGTTCCATTACTTGGCTTGGGAACTCATTTTTTCTGCCCTAAATTATCCTTCCAGGTCTTCTGCAGAGCTTTCCTGTGCTCTCCTCCTGAGAATGGAACTCTAGCCTCTCGCCCTTGAGTTTAATGAAGCTGAATCCTTTGACAGACCACCTGGCAGCTTGGTCAGCTAATTTAACCTGCCTGGCCCCAGGGACTTTAAACTCCCTCACGAGGGCAGTGACCTCATTTGTGTTGTTCAGCCCTGTCCCCAAGCACAGAGCTCATCTCACTGTAGGCTCTCAGAAAACCCTTATCGAAGGGATAAAGTACCCAAGCCTATGTCATTATAAACAAGCCACAGCAAAGGCCTTGGTTATCCAATCTCACTTGGTAGCACAGAAACAATTCTGACGATATTAACAAACCTGAAGAAGACAGGATGGAATGGAGAGATTGGAAAGGAGCAAGCAGAGTATTAAAAGGGCTGAGGTGAGCACAGCGAAAGGAAGAGGGGCAGAGAGATTGTCATATGCCCCCTTTTGATCTCCTCCCTGCTTTCAATCCTCCATTAAAGCTACTGCTGGTAGTTCCCCTTTATTCTATTGAGGGTCAGGACCATATGTTGGAATCACTCAGTCCCCAATAACAATGCCACATTGGATAGTCAAAAACAGTGGTTCCATGCCCTTCCCTCCATCCCCTTTCCTGGTAGACACATGCGACTTTTCGTTGTCTGGCCAGCATCTGAACATCCCGCTAGGATTTACTCATTCTCTTGCCCCGGGCATTTTCTTAACCAGCAGACACTATGAGGGGCAGTCATGCGCCTTTCTTCTCATGCAACTGGTCCTTATCTGCAACTCGTAATCTGTCCAGTTCCTCACTCATCCTGTCCCAGGCTTCTCTTTTACCTTTTCTGTTATAGTGGTGTGTGTGTGTGTGCATGTGTGTGTGTGCGTGCGTGTGTATGTTTAAACTCAAGATTGATGGCTTGTCCTCTAAATTTTAATCTCTATTCACTCTCTTACCTCCTGTCCTCTCCAGTTCCAGAGGTCCTCTTGTTGTCATGTTTGTTACTGTTATTATCTTTCCTTTCTCTCTTTTCTGAAACAGAGTCTCGCTCTGTCACCCAGACTGGAGTGCAGTGGTGCTATCTCAGCTCACTGCAACCTCCACCTCCTAGGTTCAAGTGATTCTCCTTCCTCAGCCTCCCAAGTAGCTGGAATTACAGGCACATGCCACCACGCCCAGCTAATTTTTGTATTTTTAGTAGAGATGGGGTTTTACCATGTTAGGCAGGCTGGTCTCAAACTCCTGACCTCAGGTGATCCTCCTGCCTCAGCTTCCCAAAGTGCTGGGATTAGAGGCACTGTTATAGAGCCCTTTTGTCAGGCTTCCTAGGATGTATCAAGTTATAGGTGGTCCACAGAATATGCCTTGTCCCATTAATCTGGGTTCCCTTAGTTGGTTTGGGAAACTCAAGCCTACTGTTGTTTTTAAAGTATGTGCTTTGCAGTTGTTCTTGTAAGTGTGGCACAGGGGCAAAGCCAACAAAACCACAGAGGTTTTTTCCCAGCTGCGTTCTGAGGGCTGCTCTTCTCTAGCTGGAGTGGTGGTGCGGTTGCCAAGTGTTCAGACCCCATCTGAAGTAAAAATATGCCCTTGGCATCTGCTTATCACGCTGTCATTTGTGGAATTTTTGGGCCTTCAGGGTCCATCTCTCCCTGCCATCATCTTTTCAGATAAGTGTGTGTTCACACGCTCACCTGGGCTCTTGGTAGTGCTGTCTCGTGATCAGGCCTGATACGGTTGGCTGGGGCCAAAGAGGCTCACTGAGCAAAACATTTGGAGAGTCGTGTCCACAGAAGGAGGGCAGGGCAAGAAAAAAGACTTACTTACATTTCATTAGAAGATATCCAGCAGGACTTCAGTTGGTTTAGGGCTTCACTTAGGGTTCAGCAAGACAGAAGACATGAGTGGCAGGAATTTGGCAGACTTAGGTTCCCCCAATATATACCAAGAGCCTACGATGCGTGTAGACACTAATTACTTATACAAGTGATTCCTCCTTGAATCCTATGAGAAGAGTATATCGTCCCTGTTTGACAGCTGAGAAAACTGGGACGTGGTAGGTTTTAATAACATGCCCAAAGTCATTTGAGAGTGATTCTGGTCCTTTGACTTACGTCTTTGCACTTTACACTTTGCAACCATGGATAATCAAGGATCAGTCATATTTGGAGGACTAGGCATCCAGGCAGGCAATGTGCATTAGGCTGCTATCAAAACTAAACTGTATGTGGAACTGGCAAGTTACTTTGTCAAGCCCCAGTGGCCTGAAGGAGGGTTGACTGGGTCTCAGGAGCAAGTCAGGAGCCTGCTTTGAGAAGTGTGGTCCCAAGTCACATCCAAACCAGCAGGTGATATGATGTTGAGTCGCCCACCTATTGGTTCAGGGTTTCCAATATCCTGTCTGTCTACAGATGGGGTTCATTCCAGAGTCTCCTTGTGGGGTAGGATGGGATATAAGGAGAAAAGGAGTCTGAAAATTAACCTCATTTGTGGGGAGTAAGGCTTCAAGGGCAGAGAACCAAACAGATCTTATTAGATAAGAAATCATTTGATATTTAACATTTCAACCTGGACCGAGTAACTGACCTCAAGCAAATCACTTCATGTTTCGCGTCCAAGTTCCTTTATCAACAAAACAAGAGGTAGATTCAGCAATACCTAGGATGCTCGCTAGGTTTAACTTTCTCTATGGTTTTCTCTAAAAACCTTATTTCTATTTTATTTTTACCACTGTTATCTAATTATAGGGGAAAATGTAGTTTCCTTATTAAGCAAACTTTAGGCATAAGTGAGGTAGGTGGGGCAGACACTTTATGGCTGGGGGCCTCTGGAATTACACCATATGGATAATCACCAAGATATAGTTACATGAAGGCCATCTCCCAAATTTTCATATTTGGGTCAACCTCATGATGTAAACGTGTAGGTTAATTTTCTTATATGGTTTGTAGGGTAGCTCTGATTTTGTCAAACAATAGTAATTGGACCCCACAATCATTGAGATATTTTAGTCACTATGGAGCATTATGATAATTGCATTAATTTAATCTTTTTTGCTTTAAGAAGATTTTAAATGTCATGGCCCTTAAGGAAAGGATTTTCCTTAAGAAAAGCTCTGTTAGCATTATACATTCTTTGTCTCTCTAACAGACCCAATATCTCTTCATATAGAGTAAATCTCATATTATGGCTAGAATCTCTTTTAAATTCAAAGACCTTTAAGATAGAATTGTAGAAAGAGAAACACTAACATGTGAAATGGCATGGATGGGGCTGTATTAAAGAATCAGTACCGGCAGATTTATTCCTGTGAGAGATATAGAAGGGGTAGCACTGGTAGGCTCTAAAATCGAGGACAAAGAAAGCCAGTGAGATAACACCAACTTCTGATTAAACCGTTTAAAAGCTGTACCCCCAGGCATGTATTTCATGTGCTGTTTGTTCTCGTGGCACAAGTACTTTCATGTCTAATATGTGACTTAGTGGATATAGCATTTGATGAGATGGGGAAAAAGAATGGTGGTCAAATCTTCACAGCATTTTTCATTTAAAAACTCACTAGGTTTTTGCCACCTGCACTTCCACCTGTGAGCTTGTTCTCGGAGATGCTGGCTGCATCGTTTTCCATTGCTGTGGTGGCTTATGCTATTGCAGTGTCAGTAGGAAAAGTATATGCCACCAAGTATGATTACGCCATCGATGGGAACCAGGTATGGGTGCCCTTTTGTGAACTGGTTTTATAGGGCTGAAAAGAAGAAAAAAACATAAATGGAAAAGATTTTGGTGTCAGCTAAAGAAGGGATTGTATTCTTTCACCAGATCTTATTGGGTTGGTTTTCCTCTGTGCTTGTTAATTAGAAATTATTTTGGAGTAGGCATGCAGGATCGCTTTGCTTCTTTAAGAAATAAGTTGAAATAACACTAATTTTAGAACAGCTAATTCAATCAGGTCATAAATAACATTGAAAGTGAACATATTAGGTCAGAAACAGAATTCTTCATGTAACCCAGTACCTCTTGGTAATTATTTTTAATGGCAATTATAATATGACCAAACAGCGCAACAAACATTATTAATAATAGTTGTGACCACTTTAAGTTAAGGTGGTTCACCGTGCAATTAATATATACAGGCAGTTTGTATAGGCATGTGATACATTGCCAGGTAAGCTGATTTCACACTGCTTGCAAATTTGCAAGTTCTGTACCTATACGTTTCTGAAAATACAGTATAGTGATGACAACAGTTAAATGGTTAGTAATCAAGCAGAATAGCAGCATTGCTAGTCATGATATGCTTTGTAGCAAGTATTCAACTACAGAAAAACACTTTATGTGAGAGCTGTAGACATTTCATTCACGAGGCAGTGAAAAAACTTAGAAAAGGATCAGGTGCTATTTCTCGTCAACTTTAAAAATAATCGAGAGCAATGAGACCTCTCTTGGGTGGTATGGAGTCCAAACTCCTGATGTCGTACAAGGACCCCAAGTACCTGTCATGGTAAAAATTAAACTGGACCACCAGGCAGGGTGGGCACGTGAGTTTTCATTCTTAATGTACTTCCTGAAATACCCAGCGAAGGTCTTGCAAAGATTCAATTTGTAGCATCACTGTCATCCAGTCTCTCCCTTAGGAATTCATTGCCTTTGGGATCAGCAACATCTTCTCAGGATTCTTCTCTTGTTTTGTGGCCACCACTGCTCTGTCTCGCACGGCAGTCCAGGAGAGCACTGGAGGAAAGACACAGGTAGGAACAACAGCCATGTGATATCCATCTCAGAGAACAAGGCTGAGGAATGGCGCCCCGGGAAGGCTTATACAGAACTGAGCAGGACAATTCGCCTTTGGGACTTGTGCTTCCTAATCTGATTCACCTCAGGCCAGTTCCTCTCATTCCACTCCCTCACCTAAAATCTCTTTAAAAATAACATTTATGGTATTCTGATACAGCGATTCTCAAATCTCTTTGTGTCAGTGCTCACCGGGAATGTAGCTACACTTACCTGCTTCTCCATGGTCAATAACAACTGTCAAGGAAACAGTAATCAAGGATGCTGATTTTTGTTAATTTGTTGGGGGGGGGGGGGGGAGAGAGGGCCTAGTAAAAGTGTTTCATGGCTTTGGGGCTCGTTCTGTTTTCAGGAAAGTAAAAACCTTTATTTACATTTCCTTTACAAGGATCAGGAACTGCCTCCAGGGCTTTTGGTCCCATAGAACAACAGTTTGCTGGCCAAGAATATTTTTGTTGTAACATTTTTGGCATTTCTTCCTAAGATTTATGTTCTTCAAGTTCTAAATGTGGGTTTAACCTTATCTTTTAAATGTGGTTTGTAGTTGTTGCCTTTACAAGGTGACCAAAGAGCCAGCATCCCAGTTAATCTCTGGATAATCCCTCCTTGAGCGTTCAGAAAACTCAGGGGCCATGCTCAAAAGTGACTCTTTCCGGCAGGACACTGTCAGAGAGGCCACACCAAGCAGATGGGCACAAAGGACTGACTCAGAAATTGTGCTTCTGTCTCTTACACCTTGAGGGTCTTATCTTCCCCACACTCAGAAAAAACTATTATTTAGGAGTAAGAGGTGCATTGAGACGACAAAGAACAACAAACCCAAACTACACAGTGCAATAGACACACACACACACACACACACTCACACAGTCTTCAAATGGATTTTATTAAGGCAGAGACCCTTAAAAAAAGTTGGGCACAGTGGTTCACGCTTGTAATCCCAGCACTTTGGGAGGCTGAGGTGGGCAGATCACTTGAGGTCAGGAGTTCGAGACTAACCTGGCCAACATGGAGCAACCCCTTCTCTACTAAAAATATAAAAATTAGCCAGGCATGGTGGTGGATGCCTGTAATCCCAGCTACTTGGGAGGCTGAGGAAGGAGAATTGCTTGAACCTAGGAGGTGGAGGTTGCAGTGAGCCAAGATTGTGCCATTGCACTCCAGCCTGGGTGACAAGAGCAAGACTCTGTCTCAAGAAAAGAAGAAACACACACACACACACACACACACACACACACACACACACACACACACACGAGAATAACTGAGAAAACTAATGACTCCATCAGTGACTTGCCCAGGGAGAGCTTTAATTGTCCCAATATGCATGTGATGCTCCTTTCCTATTTATAATGGATCTTGTGACAGACTTGGAAAAATTGGCCTCTTCCAGTTTTTTGGCTGCTTTTCAACAAAAAATTTTATTTTCAGAATTTTTCTTAATTTTTTTTTTTTTGCAAATGTTTCCAGCTCTGAGGGAGCAGGTAAGATAATACAGCTCATATTCAGAGGCATAGCCAGAGATCTGTGGTCAAGGGGAAGAGGTCAGAGCCAATTTCCAAAGCTGGGTGCATTTCAGGCTGTAGCTGTCAGCAGCAGGAGTTTCTGCCGCCTTCATTTGAGACGGAGCATTGACAGGCTCTCCAGAGCACGTGGTCTTCACCTGGTGCAGGCAGATCTCAGACTGCTGATGTCCATTCTCCGGATGTTACCTCCAGGCTCAAATGAGGCATAGGTTGGCTGTTCCAGTAAGAATGCCCATGTAAAGTGACCTCCTTGGCAGAGGGCTTGGGGGATAATAGCGTTCTGGTAACCTAATTTCCCCTGCCACACACTGGCTTGTATTATATTTAGGAATGAAGGATGCCAGGATTTCAGCATTAAAGAATGAAACAAGTAAAGAAATGGCTTGATGTTTAATTGCTGAAATCTATACTAAATTCTGGGGTTAAAAGTCTAAGTGCCTGAACTGCAATCCAGGGACTCATGGACAAATAAACTGGCAGGTCTTCTCTTGGGTGGCTTCTCCTGTTTTCTCTTATGTTGGAACTTCAGTTTCAGCAACTAGAAAATGGGAATGATAACTGCATCCATCTCACAGGGATAGTGTGAGGACTAAATAAGAAAATGTAAAGTCTTAGCACACACTTGTAAATGCTCACTCTTTCACTCCTCTAGGTAAGAATAGCATCTATGATACATATATTGTGCCTGGCACATAAGAAGCACCTGGCATATATCTGGTGAATGAGTGAATGGAAGAATGAGTATTGGTGGACATAAACTGTTTTTTTTTAGCAAGTCTACAGATTGTAGAATTAAACATTGCAACCTTTTCTTTCTCTCACCCCCATCTGACTCCTACTGACTCATGGAAAAGTAATTCTGATTACAAACCACTCTTTAGCTCTGATTGCCCCCTCCCTTGACAGAACAGCTTTTTAGTAACTAAATCTGCTTGTAGATACAAAGTCTACAGAGTTTCTCACAAACAAGCCTTATCAAGTAAGTACAAATAATTGATCACTCACCGATTTTAATATAGTGGTCAAAATTAGCCTTGGCCCCCATAATTGGAAGCTAATTATGACATATACTTGGCAAGTAGGTGGCCTCTCTCCTGGCATGAGTTTGGCAGCTGACTGTGGTCCTTGTTCCCAAATCTCCATATCTTTCTCCAGTTTACAGAGCCCTGTATCCACAGTGAGATAGATGCAAGCGGCTCCGTAAATACTGGTTATGTAATTGCATGCAAGGAAGGAAGGAAGGAAAGAAGAAAATGGAAGGAAGGAGAAGGGAGAGGAAGGGAAGGGATATGACGGAAAGCGAAGAGAAGGGAGGGAAGGAGGATATCAGCTTCTCCACTTAGTCAGGAGAGGGGAAAGAGCACCACAGTACTGGGAATCTAGGGTGGGAATACAGCATAGAAAAGGGAGCCAGACACACAAAGCCTGTCTTTTAGTACCTCCTACACATCATATTGCCTCAGGCTGCCCAGCTATAATCTAAAAATAAATGATCAATTTGCCAGGTGGAGCCAATGCTTTCTAATTAAGTTTTCTAATTTTCTGTTTCTATTTTCTGTGTCTGTCTGTCTCCCTTAACTCAGACTTCTTGCACTAGGCAGTACTTGTGCTCACACAGTCTTCCCTGTTGCTTCCTCTCTGATTGCTTTGCTTTTAGTTCCCTGTCTCCTTTTCTTCTTTGTTTCAGACCTTCTAATCTTCACCTCGGCTCTGCCCCAGCTGTCTCAACAGAGAATTCATTGGTCATCTAATCAAACCAGAGAATAGTCCCCACCCCCTCAGCCTCTTTCCTATTTACGGATCATAGGAGAGCTATTTTTGCCAGTGAAGGTAAAGTTTCTGAAGCTTCCTTTTACCCCTGCTATTGCCCCGTCACTCCGTAGCCACTGTTTCAGGCTGCCTTGGGGCAAAGCTCTGAGCCTGCCTCCGTGGAACTGTCAGAGGAAGCAGGAGACACAATCCCACCTCTCAATGTGCCAATGTGGCATTCTGAATTTGCAATAGGATGAGTAAATTTATTTTATCTGAGACTTTAATGCGACCATGTGCTACAAGTACGAAGTGTTGTCAGAATTGCTATTATAGCTGCACCTTCAATAATGCAGAAGAATCAGCTATGTGCCATAAAAATATATTTCCCAAGAATATGACAGTGACCTCTGTTGTTGGGAAAGTGGTGGGTAGACCGTGTTTCCTAACATGGCAAATAACTAGAAGGTTGACCTCCTGAGTGGACACTGAAACTCCAGCTGTGTAATATCTCCAAACAAAATCCGTGTCAAACTGGCTTTACTTTCATAGGATCAGTCTCCATATTTTCTTTAGCTTCTCTGCCGTAGCATATATAGATGCCATTTTTGTTCAGCTTTGTAGTTTGAGCAATGATTCTCATTTTTCTCAACAGTATTGCGCAGAAGAGGGAGGTAGGGAAGTATGAAGTGTACCTGTGAACAGGCTGTCTCATATTCACATCCAGTGAGCTGGAAGACACTAGGGAGAAGGAGGAATTCTTTTCATGGGAGGTGTGTGTTTTCCAGGTTGCTGGCATCATCTCTGCTGGGATTGTGATGATCGCCATTGTTGCCCTGGGGAAGCTTCTGGAACCCTTGCAGAAGGTATAATCCTGCTTCTCTGCATACCGATTGCATAATTTCCCTTCACTACTCTGCTACCAGAGAAAATAACAGGAGATTTAAAAATCATCACATGGAAAACCATTCCCTGAATAACACAGCCTTCTCTGTCTCTGTTGGCAGTCGGTCTTGGCAGCTGTTGTAATTGCCAACCTGAAAGGGATGTTTATGCAGGTGTGTGACGTTCCTCGTCTGTGGAGGCAGAATAAGATTGATGCTGTAAGTTGCCTACCAGCCATTTTTATCTGAAATAAGATTTGGTTCTTATATGCTTCCTGCCATATCCCTGTATTCCCCCATCCCCTAAGTCTTACTTGCACTTTGGGAACCCCAGAGGAGAATTTAGAATTGTGTGGATAAATCAAAGCCATGAAGTCTTCCATGTGAACTGCATTTTGTTCCTGTATCTCTGGGAAGGTCGATTTCCAGCAAGAATCCCATATGAGGCTCATTCATACACCTTTGGCCTTCTAAACGAAAAAAAAAAGTTTAAACACCCTAGAAGGACAAACAACATACAAAATAATGCAAAAATAAAATAGAAAATGTAAAAGCCCATGCTGACTTTAACTGTGACTAACATAACCTTCACAACTATTCTGAGAAACTAAAAATCAGAAGCTAAATCCTTCAGAGTTCCTCTCTAATTTAAACCATAAAAAGAATGAGAAGACTTCCTACATATTGATATGGAAAATTTTCCAAGACAAATCGTTAAGTGAAAAAGAGACCAGAATAGAAATGCTGGGGAAAAGCACAGACACAGGCAGAAATAAAAGTGGATACACGGAAGGAGGGAGGTTGGGAATGGGTGAAGAAGGGGAGGGTTGTGAGCAAGAGTTTTTCCCTTTTTAATGAAAATTCCCTTCTGAACCATGCAAATATATTAGCTGTTCAAATATTTACAAATAAATAAAATGGGACAGTTGGTCTTAATTGGGAAGTCCAGTTTCTACAGCCACTTAAATATGAAATGAATGAAGTCACAATATTTTTTAAAAGCTGTGATTTGGCCAGGCACAGTGGCTCAGGCCTGTAATCCCAGCACTTTGGGAGGCAGGAGGATCACTTGAGCAAAGGAATTTGAGACCAGCCTGGGTAGCACAGTGAGACCTTGTCTCTACCACAAATAAAAAATAAAAAATTAGCCAGGTGTGGTATGTACTTGTGGGTAATCCCAGCAACTCGGGAGACTGAGGCAGGAGGATCACTTGAGCCCAGAAGATGGCGGCTACAGTGAGCTATGATGGTGCCACTGCACTCCAGCCTGGGCAACTGAGAATGTGACCCTGTCTCAAAAGAAAAAAAAAAAGCTGTAATTTGTTTGTGGATAATTGATCTTATTTGTACAGGTAGTTATCACATTATGGTACCTGATACATTAATATATTTCTTTTCATTTCTATTTTTTCTCTAGGTTATCTGGGTGTTTACATGTATAGTGTCCATCATCCTGGGGCTGGATCTTGGTTTACTAGCTGGCCTTATATTTGGACTATTGACTGTGGTCCTGAGAGTTCAGTTGTGAGTAACGTAAAACCCAGATTTCCTATAAATAGAACAACACACCCTGATCTTTCTTATGCCATTTTGATTAACATAGTGAAATCACTTGCTTTCATTATAGTTACTGTATATTGAGTGCTTCTATGAATTAAGCATGCAGTGTTTTACAGACATACTTAATCTTCAACAAAAGCCTATGAATCAGTTTTATTAGTCTCATCCTACAGGTGAGAAAAGAGAAATTCAGAAAGGGTAAGAAGCATCTCTAAGATCCCATAGCTAGTACATGGTAGAGCTAAGATTTGAACCTGTGCACCTAGTCATGGGCTCCACTGCCTTAGCCAAAGGCTGAGGTTGTTTTGTAGTTTCTTCTTTAAATGAGATGAAGAATGTGAGGCGCTGGGCCCCATGCTTGGAACAAGACAGCTGCTATATATTATAGTTCATTTTCTTTTTTTAATGCTAGTAACCAAAAGTTATATAACCCAGAAAGGAGGACTTTAAAATAGCTGATGACAGCCAAAATTCATTCAAATCTGTCATATAACCAATAAGGCATATAACACAATTATGCAAAGGAAACAATTAGCTCATATGCAGAGTGAAGGCAGCAAAGACATGATTTAAATAATAGAAAACAGCCTGTGAGGGAAGGTGAGTGGCCTGAAGGTGGTTTTTGGTTGGTTTTGTTTGACTCTAGAGAGGCATTAGTTAAGTGCCCTCCTGAGCCTGGAGGGGAACAGTCTCTTCCTCCTCAAAGTGTCCATCATCTTTCCAGACTTCTGGCCCCTGCTCTGCCTCTGCTTGGGCCATGAAGGAAGAAGACACCTGGAAAAACATCAAGCTGCACGTCGTCAGCTTACCATCAGCTCTCCTCTCCTGTTCCACCAGCCAGGTCTTCTTGCCCTCCTTCCCTACCTTGGCTTATTGGTGCCTGCCCAAAAGGCTTGTGTTTCCTCAACACCCTCAAAATGATTGGCCAAGGGCCTGAGAAAGTTTGCAAGCTCCCAAAGTACCCAACTTGCTGCTAGGAAACATCCCTGAAAGCCTCCTTAGAAGATGCTGTCTCTTATGTTGTATATGCCTCTGTGTCTATTTTTTCTTGTGTGGGTGCGGTTGGGAAAGAAGGGTTTTACAGAGACAGATTAGCTTATGAACTTTTAAGTTAAAAATCAGCACAACCCTGCAAGCCAGGGAAAAACTAGTGGCACATTTTAGCTGCTAGTTTGATATCTAGGCTTTTAGCCAACGAAAAGCTGTATCCTCCACAGTACTTAATTTCCAGAAATTATCATGCTGATCCAGAGAGCACAATGCTGAAAGTACACCAAACAGATACTCTTTCTTCAAGAATTGTATTTAGCATGTCTCTAGTCACACATGAAGAATCACGGAATTTATCTGATTGCATCAGGAACAGGAAATCACAGTCTGGTTGACAGGATAGACTTATTTCTGGTCCTCCCAGTCTCCTATTTCTATAAAAAGGGACGAAGTCACAAAGAAGAGCCAGGCACTGGAAGACCCAGGGGTTAAGACAGAGGCTGTGCTGCCCTTTACCTCCAGGCCTTTTCTTATTTCTCTTAACTCCCATTTACTTAACAATACAAGTCAGCATAATGCTGATGACCTTTCAGGGTTATGGCAGGGCTTAAATAAGAGCTCTTTGCTTATCCTATAACGTGTGGTACACGTGCAAGTATGATGCTCATTATTTCTCTCAGCCATCAGAAGAGAGGCACAGTCTCTCCCCTCCCCTGCCGATTCCACACAAACACCAGCTGTTCATTTCAGAGTTAGCTACAGGAAAATGTCATCTGCAGTAAAGACAGAGTCCAAAACACCAGAATGATGCGCTCTTCAGTAGCTGTTGTTTTTAGCTTTTTATTCCAAAATGTGGCTGTTCCAAAAAATCTTGACCTTGATTTTTTTTTTTCTTCTAGTCCTTCTTGGAATGGCCTTGGAAGCATCCCTAGCACAGATATCTACAAAAGTACCAAGAATTACAAAAACGTAAGTGACTTTGTGAGACATTTCCTGGACTTGGGTTTACTAGCCTGAAGTTTCAGCAGTTCCATGTTAGGTACGAGGTAGCCAAGGGGAGAACTACCTGTTGGGAAAATCTGTTAGCCCACAGGGAGTGTCACAAAAACTTTTGATCCAAAGTGCCTTCTGACATCCATGGTTTATATGAATTTTGTCCACGCTAGCTGAACGTCTTTTTTTTAGGTGGAGTCTCATTCTGTCAGTCAGGCTGGAGTGCAGTGGCATGATTTCAGCTCACTGCAACCTCTGCCTCCTGGGTTCAAGTGACTTTCTTGCCTCAGCCTCTCGAGTAACTGGGATTACAGGCAGGTGCCCCCAGGCCTGGCTAACTTTTGTATTTTTAGTAGAGATGGGGTTTCACCATGTTGCACAAGCTGGTCTCAAACTTCTGAGCCCAAGTGATTTGCCCATATTGGCCTCCCAAAGTGTTGGGATTACAGGCGTGAGCCACCGCACCTGGCCAGCTGAATGTCATTTTGATATAAAACTATTGTTAGAGGAATTTAAAAATAATAGGCAATTAGATTATTTCTAGATGTTCAACCAAAATTTTATTTATCTGTATTATAATTCTTTTCTTCCGTAAGATTTTTTTTACTGAGTTCTCACAAGAGATGATCAAGTTCTCCATGACCTTACTATTTGACACTTTGCTTTATCCTTGGAATTAGGAGAAATAATATATGACACAGGAAATGAAAAACAAAGAAATTAAACATCCCATTGATGGGCTTGTGTCACCTGCAAATAAAATTGCTTAGTGATAAACAGGTGAAACAAAGATAAAAAAGCAGAGAAAGTAAATGAAGGAAATACAAACATAGCAATAGCAATAATAATAATAATAATAATAATGTGAACCCTAGGAAGTTGTAGTCTAATTTTACCTTAACATTAAAAAAATGTTGGACACTGAACCTGGGATTTCAGTAGCTGCTACTTAATTTATTCTGTGATCTTTCTGTTATGTCGAGCCAAGTGCCAATAAGAGCTGAAATGACTGAGATTTCTTTGGCTTTGGGGCAGGGAACTCTAAGCTGAGTTAGGGAATTCTGACTTCTAGGCTCCATCTTTGTGAGACTTTGCCCAAGTCATTCAGCCTCTCTGGACCTCAGTTTTCTCATCTGAAGGAGCTCGACTAAAATTGCTATTTCCTGAAGACTAGAAAAGGCTATGATTCTATGATTCATGGGTTCTATTTTGGATGTGGCCATGGTATATCAGGGTGAGAACAGCAGATGATGTCATAGGCCTCAGTTCTGCAAATCCCCTTGGTTTCGCTATTTTTCTTTGCTACTTTTAAAGAACGTTAGCAAAATCAGGGGGGTCAGTGGTATGAACTTCAGGCAAATCATGGCACTGTTCTAAGCCTCAGTTTCTTTATCTGAAAATCAGAGAATTGAATGAATTGCTTTATAGGCCCTTTCTAACTTTGAACTTCTGTGAGACTATAGAGGTCAAAGAGTTTTTGTAACCTATTACCTCCTAGCTGGGATGAAGCCCCTATTTAAGAAAAGTTGAGGCTGGACACAGTGGCCCATGCCTTGTAATCCCAGCACTTTGGAAGCTGAGGAAGGTGAATCACTTGAGGTCAGAAGTTCAAGACTAGCCTGGCCAATGTGGTGTAACTATCTCTACTAAAAACGCAAAAATTAGCCAGGCAGGTGGCGGCACCTGTAATCCCAGCTACTTGGGAGGCTGAGGCAGGAGAATCGCTTGAACCCAGGAGCTGGAGGTTGTAGTAAGCCAGGATTGCGGCACTGTACTCCAGCCTGGGCAACAGAACAAAACTCCATCAAAAAGAAAAAAGAAAAGAAGGAAAGGAAGGAAGGAAGGAAGGAAGGAAGGAAGGAAAGAAAAGAAAGAAAAGAAGGTAGGTTGGGTGCTGCAACCCAGCTCTTCTGAGCAACTGCGACCTGGCTTCTTGCTAAATAGCTAGAAATGTAATTAAATACCTGAGGCCTGAAATTATTTAACCTCAGACAATTTCTTTTAATGCCAGATTGAAGAACCTCAAGGAGTGAAGATTCTTAGATTTTCTAGTCCTATTTTCTATGGCAATGTCGATGGTTTTAAAAAATGTATCAAGTCCACGGTAAGTATTTTATCCCTAGAAATTTGTTTTCTAACCTCTTTTGAGACTTCATTCATTCTACAGGTATTTATTGGGCTCCAACCAGGAATAGACCCTAGAACTTATTTCCTTTGTGTAGGGCAATGAGAATTAAACTATAACATCCTTGCCTTCGAATAATTTACAGTCTATTTGGGGATTTAAAAAACACATATGTTAAAATCCAGGTAGCAATAACTATGCCAGACAAAAAATTAGACATGATTCTAGGCAGAATTTGAGTAAGTTCCAAGTAAGGAGTATAGACAGTTGAGAGTTCACAGAAGGAAGAGATCCAGGTTAGTTGGACTAATGGGCTTTGTGTGGCAGTTAGCGGAAGGAAAGAAATCATGTCAGGTGCTTGAAAACTGTGTGAGCTGAGAGACAGTGGAAATACGTATTGGAGGTAGGGTTGCCCAGTTGCAGCAAAGAGCAAAAAATACTAGTGAAATAAATAAGTAGAAAATTCTGGTACTGAATGTCATGCTATGCTTTGAACTTGGGAGTTTGCCTCTAAATCAGTGTTTTTCTAAGTGAGTTTCTAAGTGTTTTTCTTTTTTTTTTTTTT